AATTGCGTCAAAGCCTGTTTTTTCTTTTGCAATATAATTTTAATAGGTTTTGAAGCACTGAAGATTACTTAGTTGTATTCTATCTTATCTTCTTTATTACCAGTAATCGCAGTTGAAAATTTTGAATAACTGTCATTTTGAACGTCATCAATCTTAAATTGATGTTTGATACTCTCTTTTAATATCAAATTTTTCTGTATCATTCACATATTTTGAACTTATCTTTAGCCATTTTTGACTGATTAGTTTTACGCTCTTATTTTTTTGCTTCAAATCGTTAAAAGAATGTGAAAATTGCTGCTACTTAAAGAGTGGTAATTTTGCAATTATCAATGAACAAATATTTATTGTTTTCTGAATCCATTTTTCGTTTTCCTTTTTTTGCAAACTTTTAAACTGAAAACCAGAAGATAAAGAAAAAAAAAAAAAAACACTTGGAAAATTTTATAGAAATACTACTTATTAATTTCATTTTTTTTTTTCTGAACAGCAAAAAACTGCAAAATTCATTTTCTTTTACAGTTTTGCCGTTGTCATTGTTGTTTTTGTTGCTATTCGTCTAGAAACATAAAATATATATTTAGAAGCTCAGTTCTTCTTATTTAGAGAGACATTTTACAAATTGACAGACTGAAAGACTAAATATAGAAGTATTGTTCATTTTTTTTTTTTTTTTTTTTTTGGCAAATATATGCCAATTTTGTAAGCCAAAAAAAAAGAGTCAAAAAACAAAAGGAAAAAATGAAGAAATTTAGCGATTTGTTGTTGACGTTATGCCACAGAGCATCTTCTGTTTTCGTTGCTTCGGAGTCGTACGTTTGTCATCTGTAGACGATGACGACGACGATGACGACGACGACGACGATGGCTACGACGATGACGATGACAAGATTTGACTTTGACAAGTTTGACAATATTTCAAAAAAAAAAAAAAAAAAAAACTGCTTCTCCATATTTTTTTTAGTTTTTCCTTCTTTTTTTTTTCTTTTTTATTATCCTCATTAAATGTTTATTTTCCAGAAAAAATAAAAGAATTTTTGAAATCACTAATTAACCCTCTTTGATGGCAAAAAAAATTCTGCTTTTTTTTTGTTTTTTTTCAATAAATAATCTCCATTGTTTTTTTTTCGCTTATTCATCTTCATTAGTTATTTGTTTGTTCAGCCCTTTTCATGTCCTCTTTTTTCTTGCTGAAGTTGTGACAGTTATTTTAGAACCAAAGTCCATTGAATCTGTATTTCGTAAATGCCTCTTCTTATTCTGTTTTTAAAATAAAAAAAAAGTTTATAAAATTCAATTTTACAAAATTAGCATAAAAGAGGAAAACAACTTATTTGGTTACAAAAAATTTAAAATTTTTTTTTTTTGATTTTGGGAAGAATGAAAGGTTGATAAAAACAGGCGTTGTTTTATATGCAAAAACTGTAAGTTATAATATTCAACATTGTATTTGTCTCATGCACTTTATAAAACAACATAAGCATTCTTAAGGTGTGACGTATACAGTTTCCAACAATCGGTGTTAATTTTAGAATATTTTGGTAGCCTAAGAAAAGGTTTATCAGTTTTAAATAACACCGTTGTTGTAACTGCAGCTGCTTTTACAGTTGCCGGGTCTTCAGAATTCTACAGGTTTATACTGGTTAATTGTGCCATAATTTTACAGATCCAGATTCACCGAAATTGGAATCTGTGGCAACATCAGAAAATGATGCTATAATATCGTATACACCACCGGAAGGAAAAAATTTGACTTTTTATATCAAATATTATCCGGTTGATCATGTTGAACATGCAAATGTTATTGAAACCAAAGCAACACTGGTCAAACTACAGGGTTTGAAATCGAATACAAAATTTTCACTACAAATGTTCACAATGGAAAATGGTATTCTATCATTGGATTCTGTGGAAACTTTCTTTCGGACGAAAGGTTTTAAATTCTTTTTGTTTTTTTTTTTCGGTATTTCTATAAATAGCTAACTAGCGGTTTTCTTTTTGTATTTTAACCTCTATAAAACAGCAACAGTACATTAAGATGGAAACAGAAAAAAAAAAACCAATAGTTACTTTATTTGGTTGTTTTTGGCACAAAATTTTTTTTCTTACCCGTAAATTTGTTACAAAATTGTTCATAAAAAATTAGCTAAACGCATCGTATTATTTTTCATTAATCTAAAATTCATCTTTCTTCTTTTTGCTACTGCTGTTGCTGCTGCTGCTGCTTTATAATTGTTCTTAGTTTTAGATTCTAATTTTTTTCATCGTCTTATGCTTCAAATGATTTTAAACGTTTGTAAACAAACAAAAAAAGAAAGAAAAAAAGTAGAAGAATGGAGAAAGGAGGAGAAGAAGCAAGTTAAATGATGATTCACCAACATCAACAAAAAAAAACAACTACTGTCTAGTCTTAGTGCAAATAATAGTTTCGACTTAAAAGACGTATCAAATAGTGTGTACCGTAAAATCAGTCAACGAAAAAAAAAATTTATTTTAGTCCACCATAAACAGACAACAAAAAAGAAAATTTTGTGGTTAGCAGAAAAAAAAAAACATATTGCTGTTAGTTTAGATAAAAATATATAAGTGGTAAAATTGCAAAAAAGTTCAAGACATATAGCTAATTATATACTTTATATATTATATACACAGCAGATACTTGAACTAAAATTTTTTTTTGAGCCTTAATTTAGGTATTTTAAGTGGTTATCAAGAAAAAAAAAACGTTATTGAAATTGATTCAATTGATTCATTCTGTTTCACCCACTTTTTTTTTTTTTGAAATTAAATAATCTAGTGTAAAAGATAAAAATTATAATTTTAAAAAATAGGTTTTCTCTACTTTGAAGTATTAAAAACTGATTGCTGTATAAAGACATTTTGTTGATGGCAACTTTTGGCCGGTAAAAATAATTACCAATCAGCAGTTAAATAGTGATCAAATTTTATTTGGTCTTTGACGACAACTTAATAGCTGAAACTTCTTTGCCTCTACAGTTTCAATGTCTGAACAGCTCTTTTTTTAAATATTGGAATAATTAAGTCAACTAATCAGAGCAAAGAAGTAATCAGATAAGTTGAAATAACGTTATTTTAATCGTATGTTTGATGCCACAGCAACCTGTTCCATTCCTTTAGTGTTCAAGATTGTTGCATAAAATAAAATACTTTTTTCATCTGAATATTTCGGTGTAAAATTATTGCTTAACCGTTTTTAATGACTATTTATATTTTTATTTACACGTAAATCTGTTCCAGGACTTGGCTTTAAAAAACATAAAGCAGTTTCAAAACACAAAGTTGAAAAATTCTAAAATTTTCAAGCTAAAAATGCTCAAGTTTTTTATTCTGTGTTAGTGATTACTGCAAATCTACATATTTTTAGAGAAAGAAATAATTTATACTATTCGAACATTACCAGAGCATTTCACCTTACCATTTGAACGTTTTACAACCACTGAATACATTACATCTACTACTCCATACACTCAACCTACCGACTGGCTAGAAACCTCAACATTGGCAACGACAGTATCAACTGATAAAACCTCATACTACACAGTACAAGTATCAGAAACATTTCCACAAACATCTTTGAAAACAAGTTTAATAAGTACATTGTTTTCGCCAAGTGCTGGGCCATCTTATGAAACTGTGTTAACAACCATTAATCAATCCACCGAGAGCAGTAGTACTACAGAATCAACTTTGTTGGTATCTTCACCACAAACACAAACATCATTTTTCACCGGGTATACCATAAGTGATTTTATTTTTTCAATAAAAAGTACTTATTTTAAGAATTTGTAAAAAAAAATGCATGTAATTTCCAGAACATCAACAGAGGAACGCTTAGCTACGGAAATCTCTTCTTCTGCGGAGACCGATTATTTCGAACAAACGACTGTTGCACCGTATTCAGCCAGCAGCATTAGCAGTACTGTTGAACCAGAGCTGCCGGGGTCAACAGAAAAAACCGAAACGACGCACGGTCATGAGTCTACAATTGATATTTCACCATTCCATGAACCATCTGCTGACATATACTTGAGTAAAGAAGGCAACAATGTTCGTGTTGAATGGGACTTACCCGAAGATACAATATGTGACGCTTTTGTGCTTAAATATACGATCCTTAGTTTGAGTACACCAAAAACGTACTCCGTTGGCACCGATACTCAATACAGTATTATAAAGATGTTTCCAGAACATAAATTACAGGTTATTAAATTTGACTTGATAAAATGAAAGAAAAAAATTCTAAATTTTTCAGGAAAAAGACTAACATTATACTGTAGCAGTATTGTTCAAGAATTACCTGTTTCCTTGAATTTCGACAAAAATAAAAAAGAACTCGAAGACTAGAAAGTGACCGAATTAGAAACTTCGGGCAGATTTTAGAAATTCTATGTAAAGTAACATTATCGTTTTTCAGTTTCGAGTTTTTTGTTTGCTAGAAGGTTCTATCTCACAAACCTGGTGGGCTCAACGAGTTGTAGACTTCTCAAGTAAGCTATCTAATTTAGCTTGATCCACAGATAAATTTCAGCAGTTTTGTGCGTTAATAAGTGACTTAATTTTGAAGTAACTGGAAGAGTAGGAAGAACGTAACAGAATATTTCAAGAACTGATTCAGGACCTGAACCAGTGCATAATTTACGAGTCGTCGAAGCGTACACTGACGAATTTTACGTTTCGAGGATAACAATCGAATGGAATTGGCTGACCAAACATGACTTTGACAGCTATCGCATTCTTGTTTCATATGCGAAAGGGAAGGTAACAACTTTAAAACGACGATTTTACATAATCGATGATAAGTTTTAACAAATCGATTCTGCCGAACCAGTTTTTAACAGTAAGTTTTTTAGTTGGATTGAATCGTTAGAAGATTCAGAAATGTTGTAGATTACTAACCAGCCCGAGGAGATAGAAGTGGAGAATGCTGAGCCGATAACAATTGAAAAATTAGATCCAAGTCAATTGTATGTTATAACAGTCAAGAATATCAGTCGTGAGCTTGGAATTTCTAGTCAAGTTAGGGGGATTCGACAGATTACACGTATGTTTCTAAGTTAGAACAAGTGTACACTAATTGAAAATGTCAATTTGTAAAAGCTATAATATAACATAAATATTCAAGAGCCACTAAAAAGTTATTTATAAACTCTTATAATGTGGTCAGTTTGTAATAATTCTGAAAGCCAGTTTCTGCTGTCAGATATTAGTTGTAAGCTTTCTGTAGTATCTTCTGAATGATTGTTTGCTTTCTGGAGCATAAATAGATTGGTTCTGAATTTCAGCGCCAGTAATTACATCAACATTATATCCGGGGCAAATTTCTTCAACAGCAATAAACATCAACTTTGGTGAATCAGATCCAGAACACGTCTTTGATCATTATGAGCTTACCTTTAGTGGCAACTCCAAAAATATCAGCAAAGTTCTCGAAAAAGATGGCGAGTAAGAGGAATTTCAAACCACGGTTTTGCATCTAAATTTTACTTCTGCTGCAAAATTAACCTGAAAGAAGTTTTTCTCTAAAGTTTTGTCAAATAATTTTTTTATTTTTTAATGACTTTTTTAGAAAATCGTTTACTTTTACTCGGCTCATTCCCGGAAAAACATACGACTTTGAATTGTACACTATTTATCAGGGCATTAAAAGTCGACCGGTCATTGCCAATATTACTACATGTATCTTAAGTTTACTTTTTTTCTATTCAATCCTTGTTTGCTAACTGATTTAATATAAAAATTAACAGATTTTTCATCTTTAATTTTTAAAAAAAAACAGTCAGATATTTGCCATAATAAAGACGCTCAGTAGCACAAATTCTGCGATTGTTTTATATAGAGCACTATACAAAACAATGTTTTCACATCGTAGTCTAGGTTAAAATACTATTATTTTTTGATACAAGTATAGCATAGATGATGGTGATTAGTTACTAAACGCAGTGGTGCTGATAAAAATACTGCGAAAAATTTTATAAAAAGAGTACATGTATTATATTATAGATCCGCTAAAAGTGGACAAGTTGTATCCGGTTGTTGGCAAGGATTACGTTGTTTTGTACTGGGATGTGCAAAACTTTGTAAACAGCAATTGCCGTTTTCGTCTTAGGTATTATACTTTTTCGAACTGTTTATAGGTTAAAAGTAAAAAAAAAAGGTGGCGAAGTCAAAAGTGCTTAATAGCCGTACAAAATCTGCATATTTTCAGCTATACTGGAACGTCAAATTCGGGCCATCAAAGTTCTGAAACAGTTGAGCTGAACAACACGAGTAAGTACCGATTTGATGGTCTTGAAAGCGAAACGTATTATACATTCACAATTACGGTCATCATGGGAGTTGGCGATGCAAAAGCTGAATCTGAGTCGGAGATGGTTACTGTTGGTATCAGCGGAGCTGGTTGGTAACTAATTAGTAAAAAACTGCTACTATTTGCTGTTTTCAATTAAATGATATGATAAAACTGTTTGCAGGTCGATCGGTACCAGTGGTACAACGATATGGTACTCGTGAACTTGCTGTTACGGTTGGTTTTTTTTCTTGCGAATCTTAAATATTCTTTTAGATAGTCTATTGATCAATGTTAGATCTATTTATTTCATCATCTTGTCCATCAAATATTGTTGAAGAAATACAGAAGTAGTTTGCTGAACGACTGCTGCTCTTTTTTTGTCCGTTCTTGTCAGCACTATTGTCTTTCACGTGTTTAGATGTAAAGAGGGATCAACATTTAAGCGATACAATAATAGTTTTTTAGCTGTTACGATGATAGTAGTAATAAAAATTATTTTGCCAGTGAAGTGGATTTAACTATGATAACTGCTACGGAAACTTGAAAAGATTTTGAAGACTGTTCAGTTGCAAAAAAATTCTTTTAGTTTGAAAACGACCAGAATGCATTCGCAGATACAAATGGAGTTATAGACAACTACGCTGTGATAGTAACGGAGGATATTAAGGTTTTTTCTTAGTGTCCTTTCGTCAACTATTTAATATATCAGCAAAAGTAAGTTTATCTATCTATTTTTTCAGTTGGAAGGAGACGATTATGAGTTAAAGTCTTGGTTTGAAGTACGCGAAGAGGAACATTGGCCTCCGTATCGAGCATCGCCGTCTGATTACAATCCATTCAAAAAGCAGCATTCTAAACCGGTAACGTTCATCGTTGGAGCGGAAGACTGCGAAAGAAGACGACTTGATGAACAGGTCATCTACAGTCGTTGTTAGCAAACTGTTGATTCCTTTTTTCTGATACGCTTTGTCAAAGCTTGAATATCATTATAGACAACTACGCTGTGATAGTAAGCTGACAAATGGAGAACTGTTTACGGAAAAAATTTGAATATGAGTAAACAACAAAAGCAACTGGCCAAAAAAGTTTTTGGCGATTAAGCAACGCCATTTTATCATTTGTATTTCAGTACTGTAACGGGATGTTAAGAGCAAATGTCGACTATTTTGTCAAAATTCGCTCTTATTCAGTTTCAAATATTGCTATGGAAACTGAATGGACGTCAGTTAACGGAGTTGTAGGCTCTAACGAGGAGTCTGGAGGTATAAAATAAATTAAAAAATTATTTACAAGATATTTACAACAGTGCTTTAAGCAACACTAAATTAACAGATATTTCAGATGGAGGACGTCGATTACCTTGTCATATGTATTTGAACGGTTGCCCGCGTAAGAATCGTGCTTCTAAATTTGCTGTGACATATTTGCAACTGTTCATGTCGATGTTTCTATATTTTTTGCATTCAACACTGTTACGCTGTTGATATAAAAAGAAAAATTTTTTTTTTATTTTTTCTCTTATTTTCCAGTACAACAGCTTTTAACTTCCAGACGTAAGTTGTACAACAACTGTGTCTAAAAATCATCAACGTCTACGAATGAATTCCAGCTTTTCTTCTGTTTCTTGTCTTGTTTTTTTTTTTATTCTAAATTATTATTTTCTTCTTGTTTTTAGGCATATTTCAAAATATCTTGTTTTTTCTTCATTTTTTTTTTTTTTGCTTTTTCTCGCTGACAAAAACATCAAACTGCTAAAGTGTTCCTGTGGGGACCTTCATATACAGGATAAATGAACATACATCTGAACTGTTGAAGGCCTGCTATGAATAGGTATCTGAACATAAGCTAAAAAATTTTTACAGACCGATACGGTTTAGAGTATGGTCATTAGGTGAAATTGGACAAAACTGTACTAATACTCTTAAAAATTTGATTTGTGCGGATCTCAAAAAGACGGTATGATTAGGCGGAGGCTACGGTTGTCATCCATCAATGGTTTCAATGTCATTTAATTTACTGTAAAAAAGTTTTTCTATTTATCCTGATACCAAGGTCTTCCTATTTTTTGTATCCTTTCAAAAAGCTGTGTATATCATTATCAAAGGGACTGAATTTAAGAATAAGCTTCTTTAGTACTTTTTTATAGCCTCTTAAACACCACAGTAAACAATTCAGCTGGCTGTGTTTGTTAGATCTAAAAATTTGAAATTTTAAACTGACTCTTATCAGTATTCATTTCTGTAAGTTGCAAAAATAAATCAGTGACCTGTACAAAAGAGAATGCTGATTAAACGATTTTTATCAAAGCATATTTAAAGCATGTTAAGACTTCAACATATCTTCAGACCAGAAAATTTGATATAAACAATTATCTGTGCAAAAAAAAAA